ACTTGAATTTTTGCAGTGTTCACTTAATCATGTTCGCTTGGTGATCAGATAGGTCTTCATCATTGTTTGGTTTGTTGCTCTATGCTCGGGACTTTGAGCAAAAGCCAAACAATTTTAATTCTTAGTTTTGAGAAAATTGGGTATGGAACTGCTGAGGAATCGTGACGACGGTATTATAGCCGCACATTTTGACCGCATTAGTAACCGTAACGTGTCGAGTGGTGGCTTAAGATTTCACTATTAGTGAATATCAAAGTATTAGCTGAGGATAGTGTCAGTGGTTAGCTTAATTACCGCTGAAGACAGTAAAAGCGCCTATTTCATTCATACGCGAGTTTAGGGTGGGGATGCATATGGTGGCGTCAGCTTTAGTGCAGTTGCGCTTACCAGTTCAATTGTATATTTGCAACTGTTCACTATTCACCTCGATCTTCAGCTTCAATGAAGTTATTGGTTCAGCATATAATTAAACTACTCGTCTTGTTACACTTAAAGTTGTTTTTATCTCTCAATATTGTTGTATGTACTTTTCTTTATTTAGGGATGGGATTTAAAGAGTGTTTACAGGCTCATGTTTTGATCTCAGCAAATGATATTATAGCTAGTGCTGTCCAAGGAAATACCGCTAGTTGGAAAAGGTGGTACATCTGATTAAGGGGCACTGCGGTGCCTACGCGTTTAGAACCTTGACAAGCATTTCCTTTTGTAAAACTTCGGTATTAGGACCAAGCTCTAGAGGTAAGCCTTAGGGGCGGTGAAGACTTAGCAAATTTCATTTTCCGCGTCGTTCCATGGCTTGGTTTGTCTGCTTTTGGTTGCTAAGGTGGTTCACCCACCCTGAAACTTTCTCTCTGCCGCTGATAATCGAAACCTTATGAAATCCTTGAGTAGAACTGCCATTGAAGCAGTTCACACGAACCGTTATACCTCATCATCCCTCTTATTTATATTCCCGAAAGTGTGCGTTGCTATTTTCCACTACTGCGCTCTTCTCTGAGATTTGATCAGAACTTGGTTGAAAAATGCCCTAGATGCGGTTTTGCTTATTTCATCAGCTCTATGTCTAACGTTGCGGCATTATCTTACAACACATTAAATTTGTGTTGGGCGGAATGTTTTTTCTTCCTGATGGCGTTCCTGAGTTCAACATTAATGCTAAATTAGGGATCTTCCTGAACCTCTCCACTGACTTTAGGGTGTAGAATGTGTAGTGACAAGTCCCGGCGGTGGCACGCCCAACCGAGAATCAAATTTGGATAGTATGTCTCAGCTGTTAGGCTTTCTACCATTCCTCGGGTATTGACTACACTTTGAGAGGACAGAAAACTGATTTGCACATCAACTGGTCCGTAAAGTTTAAGTAGGCGCATTCATAGTTGTTCGTCTGATCGTAACGATCGCACAGTATTGGATGCGTATCGATCATCTGTGCGATCTCGTTACGATCGGTCGATCGACTATGAATGCTTCTGTGTAGGCTAGATTAGGTAAACTGTCGGCAGTTGTGCCTCACGCTCAGGACATAATCGATTTAATTCCATTTTAACGAGCAATGTAAGGAATAGTCAGCATGATGAAGAACACGATCTTTTCTGTTCCCCGGTCCACACGATCGAGCGTGTGCAGATCGATTCTGATGGCGGCTTGCCCGAATGCGGTCTCTGCATTCCTCTTCTCTTCCCCTTATTTAGGGGAAATGTTTTATCCTTTGTTAAGCTCTTAGTAACGTGTAGTGATTTCTACTTCTCTCTTGTAACCACGGCACATTCACTTGTCGTTGCTTAGTTGTTTGGGTATCGATGTTGGTATGTGTACGTTTACTGAAGCGGTCCAGCATTCGACAATTTGCCAATAACGTAATGATTGCTTACAGCTGACTTTGCGACTACATTTCCAACAGATTTTGCTTGCTAGTTTTTTTTGTGAAGCGTTTGCTTTTATTTCTGAGTTTGATCTATTGCAGTATCACTATACTTGTAAATGATTTTTTTTCCATAATGTTTTGTCTTTCAGAGATATAGCCCCTGGAGATTTGGTCACTATCGGTGAGGCGCTGTCGCTTCGAAAACTGTGCGTTCAATGTCTTGAAGTAAACAAAGCGATCTAACGCAGAAAAGATTTGCCGTTCTTAAATCACCCGACCTCGGTGTTGTTTGTTAATGGACTTTTTTCGTGACTCGTAAATTTTTGAATTGTTGAGTCTGGGAATGAAGTCTCTATTATAATGTTTGCAATACTCAATGCAATTCGCTATTTACTGTCGACGCGATATCTGAATGAAATGACTACGGAGCGGTTTACAATCAAGGCGAGTTGGTTACGGTTGTCTTTTTTCACCGTGCAAGTATCCTCTCCGTCTATTGAGACTAAGATTATCTGGAGACAAGTGGGTCTGTTTCTTTGTTGGACAAGGACAAGTTGGTCCTTTAAAGTATGGGTGTGAATATTGTCATAAAAAGCTACGCTCTTGAAGCGCAGAAGCTGACCATATTATTTACATTAGAAGTTTTTTCTAGAGCTTTATTTGATTTTATCGTAAGCAGTCATGTTTTGCTACGGTCGACGTAGAGTAGCAATGTTATGCACTTCTAAACGAGTTTAGTGCGTGGGTTTCATTATTCGGATAGCTACGCTAAAGTTTCAGTTTTTGCATATTTAACCCATTATGGATAGTCTGTAAGGCTGGTGTTAGAGTTCTCGATCCGTCGCAGGTTTCGCTGATTTTCGCGATTCTGCGCGGGTACGGAAATTATAGATTGCTCGACAAGTACTGGCAAGGTGTTCTCGTCATGGCTGAACGACGACTGCCTTATAATTGCACCTGTTCATATTTCAGTTGTTTTTTGAGGTGGCAGGGTTGGAGTTTTGTCGGCTCTCGCAGGCCGATTTTCGCGATTTGCGCGATTCACTCGATTTGCGCGAAACCTGCGACGGATCGCAAAAATTGCAAGTGTGTGAACATTTGAAACACTGAATATGAAACAAGTGGAATCATGAGCAGTCGTCATTCAGCCATCATCACTATCAAGCAGAAGTGGCAGCAGGATTGGAGAACCTTGCAGTATTGATCGGACACACTTGTGATTTCCGTGACCCGTCGCGCAATCGCGAAAATGCGCGCGGAAATCGCGCAACTCGCGAAAATCAGCGAAACCTGCGACGGATCGCGGACTCTGACACCAGTCTAACGGAAGTGGAATACAAACCAGAATTTAATAGTTTGCTCAGTGCCCATCTATCATTTTCTTGATGGAGGTGGAGCTTTGTAAGCATGTTCAATCGGAGTGCCCAGCTTTAAAGGGGTTCGTATCAAAATTTCAAGGTATCGATTCTGTTTTAGTGAAGATCAAAAGTGAAAGGGTGTTTATTTCTTGTATTTGGGGGGGGGGTGCCGTCCGGGATGAGAAGGTTGTTCCAGACATTTTCAATTCTGGGTAAAACTTCATGAAATATGTAAGAACTGGGAAAATCAAGAGTTTTTTGGTTCTACTTAAACATTTCTTCTACCTTCCCCGTCGACAGCTGCTTTGCAGCGAGGAAGTGGCGGAGTTGGGCTATTTCGGCTAGGTATTGTTGCGAAAATTTGGAGGTCACGGTTGTGGTGGGGACTGTAGCGAAACCTTCAACAGCCCGTGTAGAAGTGGTGTCGTAAAATTATTTGAGATCTGCGAAACGCATGGTTGGTCCGGTCTGTAAGCGCTAGGCTTACTGTGGTACTCCATCTCAAATGTCATATTTGCGATTCATTTGGCTGGAGCATCTCACCTTCACGTCTAAATGTGGGCTTATTGGGTGTAGGGAAAGTTTTAAAAGGCAATCTTCACCCACTTTTGAATTTTTACCTCTTATTCGTCGTTCTTTTTTTTTGAAAGTCTCAGCGATGTAGGTCCTTCGATAGTGAAGTCTAAGTGAATATAAGTTTCAGTAATCGCTTTTGATTGTGGTTTCGGACTTCGCTTTCAATCCTATAAAACGGATGGCTGCAAATAGTTCGATGCGAGCTTCGATCGTTAGAGTACAGTATTTTTTTCAGAATCCCCTAATGTACATAAGGTGACTTGTAATCTATAATCGAGTTTCTTCCATCGGATTCCCTCCGTGACTGGCGTAAGTCTTCGTCGGAGGATGATCGAGGACTTCTTTTAATAGTTCACGGTGTTTTTTTTTTTTGATTTTTTTCTGAGTCTGTTTTTCTCGATCTCACGGATATCCTAAAACGACCAGGTAATTCTTCTTTGCGGAATGGGATTTACCACCTTTCCAGCTTTCATCTAAGAGTTTTTCAGAGTGTCAGGTAATCCGCGCAATATCAGTGATGACATGCTAGGAGTTCACAGTGTTATCACAACAGAGAGGTGACTTGGTGTGAATATCGTTTCTGCGTCGGTGGATACATTACATTTGTTCGCGGATTAATTTTTAGGGATCGCATTCCTTTTTGTGGCTGTTCCCCACAGCTAATTTTTCCTTTTTTGATAGATCCGTTCTTAAGTTTTATCATGCGAACAGGGCTGGCTCGCTGCAGCTAAGACTTACTGGTGGATTCCTGACGCAAATGATTGGGATGCTCGATCCCCTGTTTGACTGGTCTCTTGACAGCAACTGCCGAAGACGGCAGACCAAGCCCGGTTTGCGTAACAATAAGTAATAGCATGGATATCTTTGTGTCTTGAAAAGCGTCGAACTAGGTGAGAATTTAGTAGAATCTTCCGTAAGTTCCGTTCTAAAATCGCTTTTCAAATTGACTCCTATTTGTGAAGCCGAAGGTTTAGTGACTCTGAAGACGAGGCGATGTTTTTGGCAGCGCTAGCCCGAATTCTTCCGAAAAAGGGCATGTGTTTGAGAGAAAGTCTTTCGGCTGATGAAATGATCTCATCGTAGTGTGTTATCCTGTATATGAGTAGAACCGAAGTCAAATTTTCGGGGAGCCATTTCTACAATTGAACAGCCGGTTTGGGTTATAGAAAACTTGATTGTAAAAGTGCTGTAGTAGCAAATGGCCGCCCTACCTTTGCTACGCACGATTCAGGATCCGATTTAAGGATCGCGTGACGCGCGATTCTTAAATCGGATCCTGAGTCGTGCGTAGATCAAGGAAACCTCCCACTCTATTTTTGAGCCATACATGTTTTTTATTGCCGCTGTGCAAAAATGTAATAAATTCATTTTTCTCGGAACAAATAGAATAGAGACGTTTTTTCTTGAAAGAAGGCATCGTCTTCCTGATTTCGAGGGATTTTTCAGGTTTGAAACTTCCAAAGTTTTCTTGAAACGGGCGCTCTCTGAGTTTTGCTCAAACGATTCGCGGAAATGCTGAAATGATCTTACGATTAATCCATCTTGCAACGCTAACTAGACTCCTCTTGTCCCCAGCTCAGAAAACCAAAGTTTTGTTAAGGTATATACTGCTCACTTTCGTTCTTCTCTCTGAACTAGAACGTGGATCGAAGTTATTTGATGGTGCGGTGAATTTTGTAGTGAAAACTATGTCGATCAGCACAAAGGTAGGCATTCCTACATTATAATCATTGCAATGATATTCAACTGTCATTGGGTGAACTCGTTCCCAACAGTTTGTGTAACATGTGTTTTCAGCTTTTTGACTTTTGTGTTGATGAACTCGACCCGCATCTTCGCGGTAAATACGGTATTCTCAAGATTTTCCTCCGCGAAATGAGTCCAACGCAGCGTGATGAAGTTGTTAAGGTATTCGTAATTGTATTGCCACTTGTTCCAACGACTAAGGCTAGTTGCTGAGCCTTAGCGGTTTTGCGATTTGCTTTCAATGTATTGATTCATATTTATTCAGACTGAAAAGTTTATCGAAACGATCTGTGAGCAGTTGGAGAGCAAACTTGACAATCAACTCATTACAAATGCGGCTGCAGACTTGGTGGCCACTTTGGTCTCCCAGTGCCCAACATCAACACCGCTTCAGGACTTGTTCGCTCAGAACATGATACATCATGTAAAGTACGTTCATTTATGCAGTTATGTAATTTATGTACATTACCGCCCTTAGGGCGCTTTCGTATTTGATCGATCGATCGCATCAAATTCCCTGTAAATTCTGTTCCCCTTGGAGAATATCTGACAATATTCAAATTAGTGTATTATATCTTCGACTCCTTTACATTGAATGTGCAATTTCATGCTTCTCTATATCAAGCTGTGCTCCTTCGTAACTGCGCGCTGATGTCCACGTTGTTGTGTTGAGTCCAGAAGTGGGGCGGTAGCTGTGATCTAATGGATTTTTGTTCAATATAGGTGTATACGATCAACCATACTGCGATGGTTCGGTCGTTTTGATGTGACGAAGGAGAGCTGTCAATTTCTACTTACTCTGCAGAGCTCTATTCGAGAGTCCTTTTTCCGCACAAATGATGACTTATGGCCTCCACGCATCTGGGAGACAGAGGTGCGTTTTCATTCTGTGGACTTATGTACTTTGCTCACATGAAGGTAGGACTTT